GGTGGCAGGCAGCAGCGGGGCAAAGCCCATGACAGCCTCCGGCGACTGCGGTGGCCTGTCTGCCCACAGGCTCAGTACAGGGGGAGATGGGGAGGGGGAGCAGCGGGGAATGACCCCTCTCCTGTCCTCCAGCCCTGCTCCTTGCCTCGGCAGTGGAACGGGATGGAAGTTGGACACCAACAACGTGAAACATGTCCCTGTCACTCTGGTCAGGGGTGCAGCTCAGTGCTCTTGTGTTGGAGCCTCCGCCAACGCTCCGGTTCTCAGCCTGGCTGCGCCTGTTGTGTGACTTTGGGATTTCCCTGTCCTGCATGTGGCTTTGCACGTGGCCCCATCCCCGGGGCGAGAGCTGCACTGTCCAGCTGCCCTGCGCTCCTCTGTGTGCATATGTGTGTGTGTGTGTGTGCAGGGCAGTGGGAAGGCAAGGGAGCAGCATGCCCGCTCCCTCCAACCCCTGGCTGGTGTTTGCAGGTGGCCAGCGTGAGGAAAACCACAGTCCTGGATGTGATGAGAAGACTGCTGCAGCCTAAAAACGTGATGGTGTCCACAGGGCGAGACAGGCAGACCAACCACTGCTACATCGCCATCCTCAACATCATCCAGGGGGAGGTGGATCCTACGCAGGTGAGCTCCCGCAGCCGTTTCAGATGCTGATGGCAGTGGCACGGCCTGCCAAGGAAGGGCACGGTCACTGAGAAGTGGCTCCAGGTTACTCCTGCACGGGCCCTGGCCTCTAGTCCCTTGCTGTGAGGAGCCTCCCTGCCTGCTGTTTGCCGAAATCCACCTTCCTGAGGCCGTACGTCCTGCCAGGAGCAGCTCCTGGGTCTGCTGGGACCAGGCTGCTTTGCCCATCACCCTGCTGCTCTCATCCTCCCAGGTTCACAAGAGTCTGCAGCGGATTCGGGAGAGGAAGCTGGCCAACTTCATCCCCTGGGGTCCTGCCAGCATCCAGGTGGCTTTGTCCCGCAAGTCCCCCTACCTACCATCTGCACACCGCGTCAGCGGCCTCATGATGGCAAACCACACCAACATCTCCTCGGTGAGTGCCTTTCCTCTCTGCCCGGGCAGCACTGGGGTCCCACAGCTGCGGTTCTGACATCCTTTGTCACAAACGCATCTTCTCGGGGGCTTTCACAAAGCGGCAGCAGGGCCCTGCAGCTCCCAGCCGGGCACAGAGGGCTCAGGTCTGCTCTGGGGTCCCGATCAGTCCTGCTGCAGCCCTGGGGCCGTTCTCCCAGGAGCAGGCTGCAGCACGATTCCTTTCTCCCTGGCCAAAGGCGGCCTC